TGAGTTGGAACGTAACATTACTATCAAACTCGGGTATGCCAATGCAAAGATCTACAAATGTGAAGATGACAGGTGTCCTCGACCTATGTGTTACAAGTAAGATTACAAGCAAATCATTAATGTTGTTTCTTGGCATTTACTATAACATTGTATGTCATTAAAGATGCATCCAAATTTTTCACAGGGCATATGGAAGTGGGAAAGAAGACAGCCCTCAATGTGATGTTCCTGGATTTGAAAACAGCAAGATGACATTGATGAGGCATGTGTCATTTGTTGATTGCCCTGTAAGTATTCCATCATATTTCAGATAATACTAAATCTTTTGAAATGTATATAATGACAATTATTTTCATAGGGACACGATATTCTCATGGCTACTATGCTTAATGGAGCTGCAATCATGGATGGAGCATTACTTCTCATAGCTGCAAACGAAAGCTGTCCTCAACCTCAAACCTCTGAACATTTAGCTGCTGTTGAAATCATGAGGCTCCAGCATATCATAATCCTTCAAAACAAGGTTGATTTAATTCAAGAAAACGTAGCCATTAATCAACACGAGGCAATCCAGAAATTCATCCAGGTCATTTTAGTGTTTAATGTGGATATTATAATATTATTATAACTTGTCACTTTCTACCCTTGGATTAAAATTATTAACTCCAGGGAACTGTTGCTGATGGAGCACCAGTGATTCCAGTTTCTGCTCAACTCAAGTATAACATCGATGTTGTGTGTGAATACATCATAAAGAGAATTCCAATTCCAGAGAGAAACTTCATTTCACCCCCAAATATGATTGTGATTCGGTCTTTTGATGTTAATAAGCCTGGATCTGAAGTTGATGAGATTAGAGGTGGTGTTGCTGGTGGAAGCATCCTCAAGGTTTGTGAATTTTTTTTTTTAAAACTCCAGGGACCAAAAATGTAAATGTGTTATTGTACAGGGTGTGTTGAAGGTAAACCAGTTCATTGAAGTTCGCCCAGGGATTGTTGTGAAAGATGAAAGTGGGAACATTAAGTGCACTCCTATATATTCTAGAATTGTTTCACTATATGCAGAGCAGAATGAGCTTCAGTTTGCTGTTCCTGGGGGGCTTATCGGAGTGGGGACCACAATGGACCCTATGTTGACCCGTGCTGACCGGCTCGTCGGGCAGGTTCTTGGAGAAGTTGGGTCTCTGCCCGATGTTTATGTTGAACTTGAGGTAAATAAATTTAGTAGAAAAATGAGTTTTGATAATAATAATGGAGTGAAAAAGTGATGTAAAGTGGAATGTGAACAGGTGAATTTTTTTCTGTTGAGGAGGTTGTTGGGTGTGAAGACGAAAGGAACAGAGAGGCAAGGGAAGGTGTCCAAGCTGGCAAAGGCGGAAATACTGATGCTTAATATCGGGTCCATGTCGACTGGGGCCCGCGTGTTGGCGGTTAAGAATGACCTGGCGAAACTGCAGCTGACGTCACCGGTGTGTACGAGTAAAGGTGAGAAAATTGCGCTGAGTAGGCGAGTGGAGAAGCATTGGCGGTTGATTGGTTGGGGACAGATTCAAGCGGGTCTTACTCTTGAAATCCCACCTTCCCCAATCTAAAAACACATTTTCGAATTGTTCTCCAGTTTTGCCTGTTGCTGTTTCTACTACATTACTACTACTTGATTCTTGTTATCATCTATTATCTGGTTTAGTTTTTTTTTGGGTAGAATTTGTGATTTGACTTGTTTTGACTTTTGATACACAAAACTTTGCTTGGTGTTTGAAGGGGGGATCATAAGACGTGGTTGTGCCTTTTCCTTTGCTTATATTTTTCTTTTTACTAAATGACGAAAACCGCAAATTTTTTATATTGGTTTGGTTGAGGTTGGCTTGATACATCATATGTCCAAAAAATTTGAAATTGCTTTTCACAACTAGTGTTAAAAATGATTATAAACGTTATCTTGTCCATTTGCTTTAGTCAAAATTGTATATTTCTTACTTGAGTTTAAAGTTTCATTGGAATCATGGTTTCATTTTGTTGCATTTGTACATCCTAACGTCTAGAATCATTTGATTCTGGTTAATTTTATCGTAAAATGTCCATGTACCGTTTTCTTGCAATCATGTTTGATGAGGTTTCCACTTAAGCGATCTTATCTTCACTGATGTTCTTTATTCTCCCTCAACAAAGAAATCATGTACATATTGGATGCATTTTACACTACAAAAATTCTTATATTTTTTAGTAAAGTAAAAGCACCTGAGAAGCTAAGTGTTGCTCATTAATGAAAAATCTATTGCTTATATTCAGCCAATATAATATCAAAAAGTAATAGAAAACAAACATACAAGATATATGCCACATTTCGAATGACACGAAAAAACAGGTGGTGCTTCATTTAAATGGGACATAGCTCCAAGTTATTCTGGTAAAAGACTATTAGCTATCTAACATCAAAGCATGATACAAATAATTGATCAATACAGAAAAAAAATCTTGTGTTCTTTTATCACTACTATACAATTAAAAAATCACTCTTGCATCAATAATGGTCAACTTATTTTTCTTTATTTCTAGCTTGTCAACGCTATGATTCTTCCTTTAGAAAATTCCATGCAAGCAAAGCTGCTCCAACCGCAGGCTCCACCTAATTTCAGACAGTTCATTCAGTCCAAAAAGAAACAGTCTTTATGTATACAACACTTAGTTAATCAGGAAAAGGGAAACTTTTTTACTTAATGCATAAAAAACGACTTAATAGAAAAAGTAATTACCTTTGGCCTAATTGGATGTATCCTTGGGAACTCCTTGGAAACACGATTAATTACTTCTTTTCCAATATCCCACTTCCTATTGGCCTCAAGAACACCTCCAACCATCACAAGAGGACACGTGTCCTTGCCATCTGCCAAACAACTCATATAAATCTTACATCTTTATCTCTTTACATTATTATAAAATAAAATTCAGTTTAACTATTAGGGTTTGCAAAATACACCTTCACCACACAACCCGAGTCTTGAAACAACTGCTTTGACACTTTCAGCCAATTCTTGAACTGCATCAAGTAATATCCCATTTGCAACTTCATCACCTCCTTCTGCACAAGATACCACAACAGGGACCAAAGCTGCAATTCGGGCCCACGATGAGTCAGCATATGTCCACCTATACTCAAATCAAGTTTATGTATATCAGTAATAACATCATAACAGAAATTTCCTAAAACCACAAGATTCTATCTTTATCATATAAAGATTCAAGAAACATATACCCAATTAGTTCATCTGGTGAAGAGAGTTTGAGTTCTTGCAGGATGCTGGATGTAAGCTTTGTTTGTGGGCCCCGGCCATCATAAGCCCTTATTACTGATGTCAATGCCATTGCAGCTATACCATATCCACTACATGTACATAAGATACATCTTAACAAAAGTAGGGTTAAATGCAAGAAATAGCTAAGTTTTTCAAAACTACCTTCCCCAATCACCTAATACGGGTCCCGCACCAGCAGCTCGAGCTTCTCTTCCATCTTCAGTATATCCATAAGTAATTGTCCCTGTTCCAGCAATTAATACACAGCCATGAAGCTTTCCCATTGTTCCACTAGCCATGGCAGCTACAGCATCATTGTGGACAAAACATCTAACATCATTCGGGAATATCTCTCTGTGTAGATGAAGAAGAAAGAATGAAGAAACATCAAACTCCAAAATCTATGGAGGTTTTGTATTTGGAAAGATAAGATGAAGATGATGGATTGATGTAAGGGGAAATTAAACACCAAACCTAAGCCAATTTAAGATTCTTTCCTGGTCTGTTGGATGATTAACTCCTGATACAGCTAAACAAACTGCTCGAACTGAAGATCTGGTAGAACCTGACTTTGAAAGAGCCTCCGCCATAACATGTTCTAGCGTCTCCCTTGCAGCGGTTTCTGTCAAGTACAAGTTATAGATGCAGAAGGTGTTGAGAGAAAGAGAGAGGGAGAAAGTAGTACCTCCGACGCTGTTATGATTGGAGCAGCCAGCAATAGCACGAGCTAGGACTGGAGGAGGGTCGGGCGGAAGACTGCCGTCGTTGAAAGGGAACACAGGCATGCATATACACACCGTCGAAGTAGTCCCGCCGTCCAATCCGAGAATCAGATCCTCACCGCCGCTCGCCGGAGCAATACCAAGCTCAAAATCCCATATCCCCCCATTTCTCTCCCGTTTCATCGCTTTCATCAGCTACTACACACTAAACCCTGGCTCAAATCTTCATGAATTTCATAAAATATACTCGGATTACAAACAGGAACATGACGAAATTGTCTCACCTAGAGCGTGAAACAGCCCTACTACTATTTTATGTTAATTATCATGAAATTTTCTAACTGCTCGCCATAAGAGAATCTGGATGGCGAAAAGCCCAAACACTAACGACCAAGAGAGACTAAGAAATTATAGTTTATTGATGACCAAACACATCATTATTTTGAACTTAATAAAATTAGATACCAAATTGGAAAACAATTGGCTACACTTTCGAGTTTCCAACATCTACCAATAACGATTATCAAACCAAACATTGATCGGATGAGCAACTACACTTCAATCTTTCAGTCGACATGAAATCATGAATACATGTGGATGTGAATTGAAAAATAGGGAGAAAGTGTACCAGATAAATAGTAGTAATTTCTTAAGAGTCTTCACTTGTTCGTCGATCTTGGCGGGTTCTTTTCTTCGTTATAATTTCTGCCGCTGCAAATTGACCACTTTGATGTTCTTGAAAGCGGTTTATTTTGAGTGTGTCTTGTTCTATAAAATCTTTGTGATTCGCGAATAGATAATTTTGAGCAAATATTCCGAAGGGAGACAAAATTGCAAAAATGGTGTTTGCCAAAATTATGTCACTTGTTCAAAACGAAAGCTTGATGCCTCGCTGTTTCAAAATTGGATTTTCCATTGTTTTTGTCCCTCACACTAACTTCAGTCCATATGCTCTATTACCTGCAATATAAACATAAACAGGGTATTTTCGTCTTTCCACCTCTATATCATCAATTACCGCCATATTGAATGATATACACAGTTAATGACCCTTCACTCTACCCATTAAACCCACTTTGTTGATCGAAAGCCCTAATCGTTTCTTGAAATCCTGCATTTGATCATCAACTTCAATCGTAAGTTCGAATTCACAAGTATGCTCCAAATGTGGGAAATCAGGCCAAGAAATCAGTGTTTTGATGCAATCCGAATTTACGGTAACGTACTCTGTTTCTTACATATTTCTTTGAAACAAAAAAAATCTTTTACAATCCATATAAAGTAATATATATATATTTTTTTAGTTTGGTTCATGATTTTTACAGAAAGATATCCCACGATGTTCAGTATTGAGCTCCATCATGGAGAGAGGTTCACAAAATTCCCAAGGATAAGCTGCATTGAAGGAAAATTAGACCACGTTAACTTGGTAGACATGGATGAGTTCTATGTGCATGAGTTGGACGTGGTGATGTTGAATCTTGGTTATGAGGTACCACTAGTCATTTACTACCACTATCAATTGCCAAATGGAGATTTGGAGTTTGGTCTTAGAGCTCTAGGGAATGATGTTGATGTACTTAGTCTTGCACAGTACATTGAACATCATAAGATCATCAAGGTCTACACTGAACATAATGAAACTAAGTTACTTACATACTTTATGTCTCCAATAGTTAAAACTAGGGTCATAATTGAGGAAATAGCAGATAATGTGCCCATACCAAAATCAAATTCAATAGTGGTTGATTTGCATCCTGTAAACCAAAACCAGGAAGATGTCCCAAATCTTAAATTGTGTTTGGTAAGGTATGAGACACCCGAATACAATTCAAATAAGAGATTGAGGTTAGTTGAAGGGAGTCAATCATGTAGTAAGAAATTGTGTTTCAACTTGGAACACACTGTAACTGTTGGTGATCAAGATGCACATGTTGAAATTGGGAATGAAGGTGCAAATATTAGTGATCAAGGTGCACCTGTTGGTGATCAAGATACAAAAGTTCATGATCAAGGTGCAAATCTTGGTGACCAAGAAGTAAATACAAGAGTGTTTGATACCTTTGACGACCAACCATTTCAATTTGAAGACTTTGATCCTTTCTTTGATCAATATACTTTTAATGATGGTAATGATCAGAGTATGGGAGTTGGTGCAGAACTTGGCACAAGACTAGGTGAAGTTCAATTTGAAAGTGAGGGAGTTTGTGAAGGACTTGGTGAAGGAGGTGGTGAAGGGGGTAGTCACGGGAGTGAGGAAGATAGTGACTTTCTTGAAGATGAAGAAAATTATGTAAGTGATATTGAGGTGGACATGAGTGATTTCTATATGAATGTTGATGTAGATGTTGAATATGCTGACAGAGAAAAGAGTGTTGAGACTGAAAAGGAAGATGTTGATACTGAATATGTTGAAGATGTTGAAGTAATTGATAATGATGAATGTGACTCATTAGGTGAAGATACTGATGATGAAAGGAGGAAAGCAATATTAAAACAGATGGTGAAGGAGAAGAAGTGCTTTCTTGGTGAAGTCCATGCAGTTACTTTTCAAGTGGGTCAAAAGTATAAAAGTAAAAAGGAAATTAAGGACAAAGTCAACAAACTTGCCATTGAGACTAGAAGGAATCTTGGCTTCACAAGGCTTAGGGTTGTGTGTAAAGGTAATGTACCTGATGTAAATGCAAGTGGGGTAGGTAAGGGCAATAAAATGAATTGTTCTTGGTCAATGCAAACTTCAAGGTCAAAAGATAGTGATTATTGGTATGTGAAAACTTTATTGGACAAACATACTTGTGTTCAAACTAGAAAACTTAGGGCTTGCACTGCGAAGTATATATCTGCAAAAATCTTAGACATGGTTGAGTCTAACCCTACAGTACCCCTTCAAAGCATTCAAGACCAAGTTCAAAAGAGGCTTCAAGGTAGTAAATGAATGGTTTATTTTTTGTAGTTTATGGACACACAACTTCTGACCAAGTTCAGAAGAGGCTTCAAGTTGGTGTGTCCATATGCAAAATTATGAAAATTGCAAAAATGGTCCCTGTGTTTGGCAAAATTATGCGAAGTATATATCTGCAAAAATGGTCAATGCAAAATTTATGTTTATTCTTCGATTTATTTTTTGTAGCCTTTATGTTTTTCATCGAGAACATTCTAATTTCTCTTTATCATAATCATATGATAATATTATCATGGTATTATAACGAAGGTTTGATACATTATTAGAAGAATTTGTAGCAGTCATTTATGACATAGATCGAAAATTTCTAGGGTTACTGTAGTCGTTTCATTTTCAATCTGTTTGATGCTTCTTTGTTGCTGATGTTTATTTGTTTGTTGGTACTCGCTTGCTATTGCCGTTAGTTCGTTGTTGCTGTTTGATCTCTTGCTATTCGATTCATTGCTTCCGTTGGTTTGTTGTTCTTCTCATTCTCAGATTGCTTATCTATTGTTGTAGTTATTTATTCATTGCCAACATCACTGGAAATGATGATTTCCTTCAGTCAATTAGTACTCATCTAGATGGAATGAATTATACATATTGGAGTTATTGTCACACCCCCGGGCAAGGCGGAACATGCTGGGAGTGCGACTAAGTTCATGGATCATAAATAAATTGAATATATATAGCACAAGTACAAAGATAAACAAAACAATATTTGTATTCCATCATTAAGTTTGAATACATGTTTCTTACATATAATAATAATAATACAGTAGTTGTCTTAAATAGGTAAACAGATAACAAAAACTAGATAGCTAGGTCGTCTGTATTCTGTAATCAATCTTCTGTCTGAACGCTTGTGTAATGATTTTCTGAGAATATATGTAAGTTTGAGGGTCAACACAAAGGTTGGTGAGTGTCACAAGTTTTCTGAAAATAATAATGCTTTTAAAACGATAAAAAAAAGTAATGCCTTTGTTGTAAGTAAAACCGTGTTTGGAAATGTTTGATAAAGAGAAGACTAAACTGTGGTTTCTAGATAATGAAATCTAGTTAAAGTTTACAAGGACAAAGTTATACGGATAACGGATAAACATACATACAGATATACAAATAAAGTTATTTGCCAAGATTGTACTTAACAACCGCAAATACGGGTAAACGGATAAACGACAAGTATATTTGATAGGCATACACATAAAAGTGTACGATACTTGTTTAAACAGTTGGTAAAACTTAGTATAGTGTACACAAGCACATGTATGAGCCTAAGATACATGTTCTAAAACTTGTATAAATATATAAACCTATATATTTTTGTGCACGTATGAGGTAAATTGAAACTACCAAGCTGATAACTGTATATACAGTCATATCACATTTATAGTTAGATTGTATATGTTATTTTTATTAGTTGTATTATTTTAACAACATAACATAGATAAATATTGATGTTTTAAAACCGGGATGTGTTGTTGAGAGGTCGTGATCTCCGGGATTACTTCGATTTCCTAGTTAAATTTCAATATATATTAATATTTGGACGTTATTTAGTATTTTGATTAAGTATAATAATTTCTCAAGATTTGGTAATTCCAAATTTATTTAAATAGTTATTTTAAATAAATTTTCAAAAAAATTAATTTATTATTTTCCCCAAATATTTAAATAAATCCCAAAAATTATTTAAATTGAAATCAAATTAATAATTTCTAAAAATTATTCAATCTAAGATTAAATTAAATTAAGTTAATAAAATAAAATAAAAGAAATTGATTTATATTAAACTTTGGGTTTAATTGAAAAGATTTTTCCAAACTATGGTGGAATTTGAAACTTTCAATTGGAGTTTTATTAGTTTAGGATTTGTTTTGAAAACAAATTTGAGGGAGAAGGGCTTAAACTGTACCATTTCGAAGTTGAGGGGCCCTATTTAATTAAACTGTATGGATGTTTTATTTAATTCAGGAGGTGGTTACCTCTTGATTCCTACGATCCCGAACGAAGAAGACGAAGAAAGAAAAAAAGATATTGATTCTGTGATTGTTTTGCGATACAAGAAGGATTAGGTACGGGAATAAGGAGGTGGAGAAACTTACGGGGTGGAGTAACAGCAGCAAGAGGCGGTGATGGCGCTGGTTCTTGAAGCTACGACAAAGGGTAATGGAACCTCTTACGGCTTCGACCAAGAAGGGAGCGGCCCTTGACTGGGAAGGGAAGCAAGAGGAAGAAACCTTTGGAATTCCAAGTGAGAGACCAAACTCTTTTGGGAAATCTCACTATGGGAAGGCTTGATACGCGTCGGAAAGCGTGGAAAGCTAAATCCAAGATAGTTAGGACCTTCGAGATTCTTGCCGGAATCGGCCCTGTAACTTACAAATTCAACCTACCCACGAACTTAGTAATGTACATTTTACCCTCCACGTCTCGAACTTGAAAAATTGTCTGTCCGACGAGACTCTTGTAATCCCACTCGACGAGATCGAGATAAAAAAGAGCCTCACCTTCGTGGAAGAACCGTAGTGACCATGGACCGAGAGGTCAAGTGAACGAAGCAAAGTCGCTTCCCATTAGTGAATGTTCGCTGGAATGCCAACCGAGGACCTGAATTCACTTGGGAGCACGAGAACTAATCGATTAGGAAGTATCCCTACTTATTGGATCGATTATTCATCTACTCCTTTACCTAAATTCTAATTTCGGGACGAAATTCCCTTTAATAGGGGGATGATGTGACAACCCGAAATTTTCATTCGTACAAACTCTAAAGTCAATTACTTCAATTAAAAGTCAATTACATTTTTTTTATAAATGTTAGCCAATTTAAAAGTCCGTTTGAGTGTTATAATTATTTATTCTTCAAACGAACGAAGGAAATGAAGTACTGTCTCGGGTCTTGAAGTAGCAAACCCACCCAATGCACCCTCATAAAGAGTTCACGACCAAACTTATAGAGTTTGGGCCGTACACTCTTGTGTGGTCATGAACTCATGCCTTAGGCATGAGTTGACTCCCCAAACTCCTCATTTCTCACTTCCACCCTCAAGTTTACTCCCCGTTCTCTCTCAACTATCATCCCGTTCTTCGCCTGATCTTCCAAAAACGTAATTGTTTCTCGACTTGATTTGTTGTTATACCTTATCACCTCGTGTTTATACATCATTTCATCCATTCATTATTGCTTTTCAACTATATCTTCAAGTGTTCTTCAAAACACCAAGAACACCAAGAACACACTAGTGTTCTTGGACCTTAAGCACCCAATCGAGCTTCTATCTTGTAAGTACACTTGCCCTAGCTTCTTTGTGATTAGTATGATCTTAATAACACTTGAAAATCATCAAGAATCATAAGAACAAAGGAGTTTACGGCCAAGGATGTTCTTGGGCCGTAAACCCCTCTTAAGGTGGCTAAATGGACCCTAGTTCCTTCCTAAGCCTTAGATGCCAACCTTGATCCTTCCTAGATGTGTTTAAGACCTTAAATAGCAATCAAAACAAGTCCCCATAATATTTTACGGCCGTGAACACCTAAGGAAGTGGTCCTTAGGCTGTGAACTCTACAAGGTAGTGTTAGTGTGCCCCTAATGCTTTCCTAAGGCTTGGACTTGATCATCAGATGCTTAATCATGACTTGTAAGACCTCAAAACACAATTTGGCACTTAGTAACATGATTTTATGGCCATAAACTCATGGGGAAATGGTCATGGGCCGTAAAATCCATAAGGAGTGGTCCTTGGGCCATAAACTCCAATGCCATGTCATACAACCCTTAGATGCAACCCTTTGGTACCTATATCACTTGATTCAAAGTGTTTACATGTCCTAGGGTGTCTTAACTTGATTAATTAGTTGTTAAGTGTCTAATTAGATACATATATGTTTCTATTATATGTTAACTAGGATTATTGTGTGTGTTCAAGTCTTCACTTGACACCTAGCACCTTGTCCAACACTTCCGAACAAACCACTCACTACAGGTGAGTTCATACCCCTTAAATAAACCTTTTAAATGTTTTTAAATGCTTTTATGGGGGGAATACAAGTTGAATCATGCTAGTTAGTATATCAATCACATGTGATTAATAACTACCATACAAATGGATTTACTACACTTTTAGCTGTTTTACCAAACAAATTACTTCAAATGGCTTCCTCAAACGTGTTTACATGTTTGAAACTCTTTATCAAACTGTCTTACATACTGTATGTTTCCTTTCAAACTCTGTTACAATTGTGTTTCAAATAAAGGTTTCCTTATACTTAAAATTGTTCTTATCAAACAAACTGCTTTCAAATCATTTTACAAACTGAAATCAAGTCATCATTTCTTAGTTATTAAACTTTTTAAAGGTTTTACAAAACATCTTTTATACTTTTATATTGTCAAATGCATGCCTATATATGTATAGTTATAGAAGTAATGTTTAAAGGAATTAGGACGGCTAGCTCACTTTATTTCCTTTTCCTCATTGGGATGTGGCATTAGGGTATCGGTTATTCGTCCGAATGTCGTCTAAATATTAGTTATATATTATGTATACATATATAGACATAAAAGTTTCATCAGTTAGTTCAGTACCTTTGGGTAGCAAAGACATACTTAGGTTATACACGTACATTACTAGTAGCTATAATACATATAGTTAGGAGATACTACTTACTATTCCAAGTACAAGGAATCACACAAGAGTCAGTTCATTCATGAGTCTATACTAGTACAATACATACTATATGAAGAGATACTATTACATACTATTACATAGATACAATACACGATAACATAAGAGAACACTGAATAATGAGAAACAGGGAGGAAGATACAATACACGATAACAGAACAAACATAACAAGGTGCTATAGCATGGAAAAATTACATGATCTAACTATACCAATGAATCACTAACGCATTGTTCTAAACAAAAGTTGATAGTTATATTGGGTATACATGATCATAATAATGTGGATGTTCACGACTTACAATCATT